ACAAATATTGAATACCAGGCAGAAAATATGTTATTAAATAATACGTGTATATAAAAAGTCATTTTGCTGCACACACATTTTTTGTAAGTGGAGACCGCCAATGTCGTACATTCAATCAAAGATGCTATATTGCCGATCCTTGCAGATCGTTCAGCACAACAGTATTGTGTGTTAGTTTTTCTATTTGAACTTTTTTTCTAGTCAGTGGTTACAATATTCCTTCTTGAATACCATTAAATCACCCTTAGGAAATGATACCGTTTTTTAAAACGTGTCTTTGACGTCTAGTCTATGATATACATTCTTCGTTACCTCCGATCCCCTTTCAAAATTTTCATTGCGTGTGAACACATCTGGGGATCTTGGGATAATTCATAATCCAAAACTTTACCATTTTCATGTTTAAGTAATGAATTCTGCTTAAGACGGAGGGGAACGATAGCTTGCAACTTTTTACAGTTGGCCGTTTTGTACATTCTTAAGAGTTCTAATTATTTTTTTCTTTATTGCACTTTTATGTAAGCTTAAGAATAGGCATAATAAAACTGGTTCTGCAACATTTTAAATTTTGTCGTTTTGGGGGTTCTTTTTGTTTTTTCTCCATTATATGTTCTTGATTTATATTCTTATTATTGTTAAATCTAATAATGGTTTTCTATTGATGTGTGTTTCAATTAGCATAAATTTAAGGATTTCTTTTGAAGATCAATTCTATTTCACAATAATAATATTGATATAAAAGAATAAAATAAGAAGTAAGATTATTGTTTCAAGAATTGACTTGAACAAAGTTTCACCATTTATAATGTATCCCCAAGACGAACATTACGAAGCTTTACGAACATATATCTAATCATTTTCTCTTTATCACATGTTTAATATACATTTGTAATGATCACACCATATTAAAAAGGTATGATTTGCAACAATCATAATGTCATAAGCGAATCTGAAATATATCTAGATCTAATGAAAATGTTGATAATGATGTACTTTTAAATTTACAAGTAAACATTTCAATCATCCCCTAAAAGTACGAATAAAAACGTTATCTTTTTTGTATTTAAAGCTAGTTATAAAAGCACTATGCCATGCAAATGTTAAATCAGTTAAAAGATACAATTCAATTTAAAAGCAATTAAGCTGATAAAGAAAGATTTTTGCCAAGACATTTCTATTTGCAATTATTTTTGTCGTAAACCTCGTAAAGCTGTTGAATGACTTTCCATGAGAACTCAATAAATAAATATATCGATTGAATAAACAGAGACTATATAATAAAGTTTCTCCTGTTTGTAATCAGCCGCGCTAAGATAACAAAATTAAGAAAAATAAGAGCAATGAAAACAAACGCAAAAAGAGAAATGAGCAGACTTGGTTTCATTGAGTGATGAATTTTGATGGTAAATGCAACATATCTTGGGCTCTTTAGCACCGATCTAAGCACTAATCCACTTGAAACACTCAAAGTTAATTGGATTAATGATCCCGGAGGATCAGACAGGTATAATAACAATAAAATGAAATACAGGGCAACAAAATATAACTGTCATACACTGCGGATATTATATCTTCTTTTAAGTTTGAATCATTTTCAATATTACACTATTTGAGTAACGACTTATTGTTTTAATCTCATATCAATTTTTTTTAATTTTATATAATAAGATAAAAGTTAGGAATAAACACATAGCACTCATATTGAAAAAATAATGCATTTATGAATATTTTTGAATACAATTTGGAAAATTTCTTTTTTCATTGTCTTTTAAACAATGAAAATTCCTTTTACTTAAAGTTTTGAATTCATGATTTTGGAATGATCTACCTTTTGTAAACTAAATAGAATAATGAATGTTTCTGTAGCTGTAAATATATACACCCATATTTGTTATAAACAATTTCTATTAAATTTCTTAATGGTCTTTTAACATTACATCTTAAAAGACCGTTATAGCATATGTTCTGATTAGCAAAGTAAATATGTATTTTATCAAATAATGAATAAACATTTGCGATTAATATTCAAATTGACGACATAAAATGTGATTTTATCTGCAAAAAAAGTCTAGAGAAGCACGTGAACTGCTTTGAATGTTGATTCATTGACAATTCATTTTGATGATAGATATTAAGGCATTTTTCTTGTCTGTACCGAGATTATGATGGCTTTAAATGTTAAGTTCACAAAGGTTGTAGAAATTATTAACTTAATCTATCTCAGTGCAGAGTGAAATTATAAAATATAATTTTCACCTTTGCTGGACTTAATCTGAATGTGGATGAAAATAATTTATCTTGAAAAAGTGTAAATATTGTTACAAAACACTCCGTCTTGAGTAAAATATGCTTAAGAACCAGAAGAACATTAATGTCTGAGCATATCATTAAATATAAGTTAGAAAGCAATTGCAATTCCTACTTCTTAGGCGCATTAAGAAATGTCCCTAGACATCATATATATGGTTTACAACATTGCGCTTATTACAAACTGATATTTTTTCTCGCTTTATATGTGCAGAACAAATGAATTGTTAATACTTTGACACATTATAACACAAATTTAGTGATGTTATCTATTAGAACCCATATTTCACAAAGTAAGTGACCTTTGCCTGAATTAAAACTAAAATCTTTTAAAAGATAAAATTACATAAAAGTTTTCTTGAAATTATGAAATTTAAGTTCAATGCATTTCACTAATAAATGTAGTAAACGTTGTTTTTTTTAGGTTTCATTTAGAGTGCAAAAGAAGCTTAAATTTTTGCATCTGAATATTGACCTACGAATGACAGTGTGACAATTATGTTTATAAATAGGAAAAAAAAAGGTTTTTCAGCAAAGCTAAAAATATCGCCTGCCTACAGTGCATTTTGTTTAATATATGAGGTTTAGCAAAAATATATAAAAAATGCGATTTGTGTTTATAGGTCTCGTAAGACGTATTAGGATATTTTGTTTTGAATTTCATAAAAGGGGAACCGCACAGGGTGAATACCATCGACAGTGCAAACATTAACAAACATTTGTATGTGCACCTAATTAAAGATATAACTACAGTACTAATAGACTGTTTGCGGAACCGTCGTGGGCGTTACTTCTTATAAAAATCCAAGTTAAAAAATTGCACAAATTGCCTTTTTTCGTTACTTTGATAATGGTTCCTATCAATGAAATTATTTCTTAACGCCTTGTACGGAAATTATGTTTTTTATTCATCGTACATTAATTGTTGAAACATGGCACTTGTATGAAATTGAAAATACTATACTTTGTTAACAATTTACTACTTTTATGAAAAATAAATTTCACATTCTGTGCTACCTAATCAGATAATAAGTATCTAGCATGCTCTAAAATCAACATTTAAACGTTATAAAACCCATGTTCTCCTTTTTTAAAGAGGACACAAATTATTCGTTTCTGAGGCGTTATGTACCTTTATGGTGAAGAAGCTTTTCTAAATATGTTTCAGTTTAATTGCAAGGTTTAATGAGACGTAGGTTAACTTTGTGCCATATGTACATTCATCAAACTCTAATTATATTCCCATTTATAAACTTTTTTCATGATTTATAATTGGCTCACCTCAAAATATTACAAAAAATAATGAGCTGAGAATATTTTTCCAAAATAAGAAGTTTATGTAAACAAGTGATAAAGTATAACAGACACACACACATACATAATTAAATTCGTCCACTTAAATTCTACAGGATGAGAATGTCTGGACATACATTTTTTAAAGATATTTTTGTTAAAATGATACTAAGCTTTTCCAATTAAAGTTATGGTGTATTTCTCTTGTACATGACCGGTGCCAAGGGTTGCCGAGAGATGTAGTAATGTAACTATCTCTTAACTACATTCACTAGAATTAACAATACTGAAGCTGCGATTTTAAACTGCTTGCTTTATCAGAGAAATTATTTCTTTCCAGAACTTGCATAATCGTTTTCAAATCTTAAAAATGTTTCGTATCACTATTTCAATTCTGAATATATTTCATATGAACGTTGTTATTTCAATAAAAAGCAGTATTATAGCAAAGACAATATATGGTGACTTTTCCTTTATAAGAAGAAACATTCAAACACCAACTGTCATACGGCCGTTCCATAAAAATCTCAACAAACAATAGCATATGATATGCATTCAAGAACTATAGATGAACTCTAAACATGAGAATTATACGAATGTATGTTTACAGAAGTATGTGAACATGATAGCGGTACAATTATAGGTTGGTGTTCAATGTTGATTGAAACCACTTTCTTTTTATATTTACGTGTTTTCTTTTGTTTCATTGCTTAATATCAAATGCTATAAATAATAGAATTTACAGCAAAATGTCGATACAACAATATAGTAACGAAGTTATTATGCTACAATTGCTAAAAATAGTGCGTATACATTGTCCCCACGGATGAGCAAACGTCATTAACGAATGATTGTAGCACGGAAAATATTGATAAAAAGTACTGTTCAACTTTTGGACATGTAACGTACAAAATTGATTTGTTTTCGAAGGTTAGAAATGTGTACTACATTACCGTCGTTGGTTATTACCTGTAACCCTGCGAGAGAGTGACTAGTCTTTTGTCACCTGTTAGGGAGTCTGGTCAGCATGCAAAGCCCATGCAGTTTGACAAAGTCCTATATTATTTGCTGACCAACTTGAATTTTTTTCTTGACATCCAAACAATTGATAATGGACAATTATAAAAGAGAGCTTGGTATTTTCGTTTAAGAAATTCATTTTTTATTTCATTATGATAGCACAAAAATATACTTTTTTAATTTTCTTAAAAAATTTAATCCTTCATTTACTAAGTACGCATCTGATAACGAGTGCAATCAAAGCAATGATCAAAATTATCATTACAAAAATATATTACATACATTGAACTCAACAATTTGTTTACATTTGCGCTGATATAATGATTAGCAAATGTTTCTTTTACACATAGTTTAATGGTTAGTTTGCATTATTGTTTTACCTTGCTAGCAACAACACAGGAATAGAGAAGTGTTGCAGCCCAGGTCCATTGTGACACAATCGTTGTCGCAGTAAGTCCAACACTCACTTTTCCTCCTGCATCAAAAGCTGTATCTAGGGTGTTCTGAAAATGAAGCAGAAAAAAACCATTGTGAAATAGTATTTATTCGACCTTTGCTATACCGATAATGGACTGTGATCTTGGATTATATGAATTTGTGTTGTTATTTTCATGATTAATTTTGTGTTTTTAGATAACGATATGCACATCAATTTGCATTTTATAGCAGACTGTGCTTGTATTTTTGTACATAATCCATACAAACGAAGATAAAGAAACAGAAACCCATCCCCCCACCCCCCCCCAGAAAAAAAAACAAAAAACAACACTACAATTCTAAGATCTAAATGATAAAAACTGAAATTTTTGCGATCCCTCTGATGCAAATGAAACGACAAATTTACACGAAATTGCAGACAGATTGAGTCTGTTCATGAGAGATAATGTAAAAGTGCAACATCTCACACGCCGCCTAGCACCGGCTTAAACACCGGTATTAGACTTACATTGATAAACTTATGTTGTTTTTCCTTCTTAAAATGAATGGCAAACTTTTGTTTTTACATACGAAAACCTTCAGATCACAAAGATACGCAAACATAACATTGATATCATTGAACGGTACATCATAAATAGTTAAAGCTTCCTTTCATTGTTGCTATATTATTATAGGTTTTCCATTAGCACAATTTGCAAAGGGAATGTTTACATCCATTAATCTAAAATATCATCTACTTATTTAGAAATGAAATATCACAAATTCTATGAACATTTGTATGTTTAAGGAGATTTTTCTTTTAGTAGAATTACAATAATTAATCAAGAGCATGTAAATGCTATTTAATTCCAGTTATCAAGATATCATTATACTTCGCCATACTAAGTAATTGCGTCTGACGAATTATCTTAATAAAATATCATCTTACAAAATTGTTAATATATCGTAGGCCATGGTTGCTAAATAAATACAAAATTACTGTCATTGTAAAATACAATAGCCTAATTAAATACTGACTTTTTTTAAAAGACATTCTCATATAGTTTTAGATTTAAGAAGGTAATGAGACCTTCATAAAATAATTTGTGGGATTTTTAATTCGAAAGCGCTGTAGCTTCTTCTGATCCGCTTTTTGTTATATTAATATTTTAACTAATGAAAGTAAAAAAAAAACCCTCACGCCCGAATATTTCTTTATATTTCAAATAAGGGCATTGCAATTAAGTGTTTTTTTTTTTTTTTTTTTTTTTTTGAAATTTTATGCAATGTTATTATGTAATTTATATAAAAAATGATAACAACATATTCATTGTGTTAAAAATATGAAATTGATACCAAAATGTAGTGTACTGAAAAAATATATTAAATATCAGATTTTGAAATGATCATACCCACTCTCACAATGCGTTCTTTTTGTTTTATTTTGTGTGTGTGTGTGTGTTTTTGTTTGTTTGTTCAGTTTTTGTATACTATCAGAAATTTCAGTTTTCGTTGTATCATTTTTCAAAATATTTCCTTTTATTAGCTTCTAACTTAGAATTGTAAGAAGAGAATTATTCAAGGAAATTAATTTTGAAATCGATATCATATACATTAATAAATAAATTAAATGGCGAACAATATAAAACTTCACTTATAACTCAACTCAACTTAAAGGCACATTATGCCTCAGAAATCCTTTTTATTAAATTCTTTAGAAATGTAAAACACATGTTTAATAATGTTTTAATAATGGATTTAGAACATGTAAGATATTTAACAGCTGAAGAAAGTAGTGCTGAATGTGCAGTAATGTGTTGTAAAGGTAGCAAAATGTAAACAAATAGTATTTTGACTTCAATACAAAATACTAATTCATTATAATTATACCAATTGCCAGCAAAGCAAAAGATGCAAAGATAGTTCATTTATATGGCAAATAAGTATTTTTTGTGGAACTTGTAACAAGACACCAAATATTTAAAATTTTGAGAAATAAAAATGATAGCATTTCTGACGCATAATGTGCCTTTAACTCTTTTATTTCATTATCAAAGGCCTCCGGCCCAAAATATATATCAAACAATAAAGTAGCATTTGAATCAGGTTATGTCAATATAATATCAGTATTCATGACATAAATTTTACATAATAGCAGTTTCTACGACATTGTCTTTTAATTTCAATATAATAGCAATATAATATTTATAACACTGTCCATCAACCCCAACATAATAGCAGTATTCATGACATTGACATTAACTTCAATACAATAGCAGTATTTATGACATTGTCTGTTAACTTCAATACAATAGCAGTATTTATGACATTGTCTATTAACTTCAATACAATAGCAGTATTTATGACATTGGCTATTAACTTCAATACAATATGACACTATTTATGACATTGTCATTAATTTCAATACAATAGCAGTATTTATGACATTGTCTATTTACTTCAATACAATAGCAGTATTTATGACATTGTCTATTAACTTCAATACAATAGCAGTATTTATGACATTGTCTATTAACTTCAATACAATAGCAGTATTTATGACATTGTCTATTAACTTCAATACAATAGCAGTATTTAAGACATTGTCTATTAACTTCAATACAATAGCAGTATTTAAGACATTGTCTATTAACTTCAATACAATAGCACTATTTATGACATTGTCTATTAACTTCAATACAATAGCAGTATTTAAGACATTGTCTATTAACTTCAATACAATAGCACTATTTATGACATTGTCTACTAGCTTGAATATACATGTATGTACTTAAACCAGCTTTGTTGATATAACCGTTTTATAAAGAATAAAATATTTGGAAAAAGATAAAACATTGAAATTTTAATTTTTTTATGTTTTTACAAATTCTTTTTAATGTATCAATAATGAATTATATACGTCACTCTATGGTATGGTCGGTTCTTTATTAGCAAGGTTTTTCATTATATCTCACGAACAGAGACTCTTTCCAACCGAGTCTCTCATATTAAATTGTTGGTTTCTGGGGCTTCCGAGTACGGAAGAGCATTAGTACCAGGTGTGTGTTTTTATTTACTCGATTTCGAGTTACTTATCTCGAAATTTCAACTTGCACAACTCGAAATTTCCACTTACTAACTCGATATTCGAATATTTAACTCGAAGTTTCGACTTACATTGCACGACTTACATTAGTTGCCGGTGAAAGCAAGGATTGAATTCAAGATATTTCATTCATGTGTAGCTATGCACATTGACAGAGCACCTATGTATTTAACGGAACAATTTGATAGGATCAAAATGTCAACACAGACCGAACATATCCTTCACATTTTCTGTGATTGCTTTGGTGTGTGTTTGTGGGGATTATATTACACTGAACGTACACATTAAAGAGGAAGTTTTTGAGGTCGGGCGTGTACATGCTATACACGAATAAGTTTCAGGTTAATTTTTATAGTTTGTCCTGGCACCCGGTTCTCCATCTCCATTGCTCCATTGTACAATAGCACTCCCTACTATATCTTATCTAAACTTTTAGTAACTCATTACTTAGTAAGTCGCAATTTCGAATTAGTAAATCGAAATTTCGAGTAACTAAGTCGAAATTTCGAGTTAATAAGTCGAAAATTTCGAGTAAGTACGTTATTTCGAGTTAGTCATTTGAAATTTTGAGTTAATAAATAACACACACCTGGCACTTATGCTCTTCCGTATCCGAAGGATCTTCTCTTTTGTAAATCAAAAAACAAAACAAACCAAAACACACACACACTCAAAAACAACAACTGGCTAATGTGTCTATCTATCAAATAATAATTTTGTTTTTTGTTTTTGCCATATTGGAATCCGGCATTATATGAAAACAAATAAAATGAAGTCAAACAAAATATGTCAAGGTGTCGTATTATAAAAAATATGTTATTTATATAGTTACAATAATGTTTAACAGCAGCTGGTAAATGTAAAAAAAAATTGAGCCGCGTCACGACAAAACCAACATAATGGGTTTGCGACCATCATGGATCCAGACCAGCCTGCGCATCCGCGCAGTCTGATCAGGATCCATGCTGTTCGCTATCAGTTTCTCTACTTTTAACAGGGTTTGTAAGCGACCAGTATGGATCCTGATCAGACTGCGCGGATGGTCTGGATCCATGCTGGTCGCAAACGCATTACGTTGGTTTTGTCGTGACGCGGCTCATTTCAAGTCTTTTTTTAAAATTATAGAAGTCATACTTGTTAGAACTGTTTGTAAATATCAACGAAAGCTATAACATTTGTTCTACGTAGATATGATTTTGTTTCTCAAAGGAGAAAAAAAGAAAGAAAAATAAGATCTTTATTGTGTTTTATATAAAAACAATTATCTCTAGTATACGTTAAATAATTTCCTTTTGACCTTTTATATAATACTATAAATATCCAAAAATTCGCACCTCGTCTTTATAAACATGCTTCCGTATGAATCTAAAAATAAAAGCAACAACAGTAGCAAATGTTCCAAATCCAACAACTAATAACAATGTCTCATGTAGCTCAATAGAGGGCACCAATCCTTGTACAGCAGTATAATTTCCACGTGCAAAAAGAGCCTGGCACTCACTTGAGTTTGACCGAGCCATCTTTTTTATTTTCAAATATATTAATTATAACTATTTTAGAAATAAAAACTACAACTTAATTCACTGACGCATTTAATCCAAATGATATACAAATGACGAAATAACTATATTTAGTATATGATATAGGTATCTTAGCAAAGATATGTTTAACTACTCAAACTTAAGCCATTGCAATGTAAAGCAATCACTTTCAAATAATCTCCTAATGCGCATTATTGAATATATATATTCCAATACAGAGTGCCGCTCAAGCTCAGTTTATGGGGAGATAATTATCGAGTAATTGTATGTTAAACTCGAGAACTCTCCCCTTTATGTAACACATTTAAAATTAATTATTCATCGATGTATAAATTTGTCATTGACACTTGGGAACTGACCATGTAATTATCGGATATTTTGTTAGCGAATAGGGCAAATGAAGCTGAGATTTTACTAAAAAAATGCATACACAGATTTGACATAGAAACTTGAATCGATTATATTATCTCTTGTATTCAATACTAGTATAATGCCAGTTAAATTCAGCTTAAGCCGATGCTATTGGGCGTGGATGGTAGAATAACCCGTGCCGTCTATGAACAGGCTAAATCAAACCCAGCCTGCAACATTTTCAATTTTGCCATGTTAGGGTTTCATTAGGGATTCTATTTTTCTCTATTTTAAAGAAAAAAAAGAACCCCAAAAGAAAGTGCAAAACGTCAAAATTGTAAATGTTGCTGAATCGGTTTGATATATTCTCTTCATTGATGCTACTAAAAACTGCAAGATATCGTCTAGGAGCCAAGCACCAGCTTACGCAAAATTCATAAATACAAGTCGTCAAATTTGATTTAAGAAACATTCGTAGATATGTTCAGAATAGAATAAGCAATTTATGGACACATTAAAGTAATGAAATACTCGTATGAACACATGTGGATACATGTATTTCTAATTGAAAATTTCACAATTTTCAAGTTTTTCCTTTACTCTTTTATGGTAAGTAAAACATAGTTTTTTCCGTTTTCATGCCTAAACTGCCCCTCTATCAAAACAATCATTATCAAACACTAAGGTTTTACAACCTTTCTTCAAGCCTCCATATTGTTTGGTCATATTTGATATCGAGTGGTTTATTTACTATTCCTGCGTGTTATATTACCAAAAAATAACGTATATAACGTCAAAGTCACATTATATTGGCGAACTGTGATTGGCGAAGAACTAAGGTGCCTCCCCGTAAATTATTTCAGGCTTGAGTAGACACGCAATTAAAGCAATCCGTTTCACCTGTTATGTGCACGTATAAAGGATTGATGGGATTTGAAAATACAACGATGCAAGGGACCTTCACCACATGATCGCAACTTACATAATAATCAAGATAACAGAAAATTATATCAACAAGGAAGAGGAAATAAGTTAAATTTCTAAATAAATTTCTAAAAAAAAGATAATACTATATCTCCGCGTGACAGAGATAATTGTTTCCCCAATTTCCTTAATAAAATTAAATGCGTCTAAATTAACTTTATGTCAGGTACGTATATGTAACGTTTGTAAGATTATTGTCAAGGAATTTTATCGCACATCATGTTGATAAAATATCTAAATGAAAATCAATGTAAATGTGGGTTTTTGTTGTACAATTAGGAAGCCTAATTTCGACTAAATGAACGTGAGATAAATTAATGTAAATGACAAGTGAAACGCATTTGTCACATGTGTCGGAGAGAGAGTCCGTTTGCGAACTGGTTTTACTTTCTGTAAAATAACGGATAAATGGGAAAGACCTGAATATTGAACGAATTTTCATTGGACATTTTAAATTACAAACTGAAATATGGGCATCTTAGTGGGCATTCGAAATTTGGCAAATTGATATAAAGGATCTTTCTGAAACGTTTACGAGTCTTAATTCCTAAATAATCTTACGGAGTTTCAAATACAAACTTAGTTACATTTTTCGGATATCTGCTAGTCGTGTTTCTTCCCATTTAACAATTTACAACATTTAACAATTTACGACATTTAACACTGCTTTTAAAATTTCATATATCCTGTGGTGAAAAGTTTATTCAACATATGAAATTATTCAGTTATAAATGACATTTATAAGTTTAGTCTTAAAGAACGAGACCACCAATAACGTTCACGATCCCGGAAACTCATGTGCATGAAAATACCGAAAGATATTATTAATTGCTGGTACACTTAGTAGTCCTGGGAAAAAGAAATCCCTAGATAACTTCCAAAACGTTGACAAGAATGAAAATGTTGCAGACTCGTTAAACCTCATCTTGGATACGTAAATATGGGTTAAAAACAGATAAATGGTTTGGTCTATTACATGCAATCAGATTTAGAAATACATAGATCACCTGGCATTTAAATTAAAACACTACGTTATATCAAAATTTACAACAAATTAGATCATCAATAAAAAACTGATTTGAATTATAAAAACTTTCACGTGAACAAAAATACTATAAAAACTGAGAAGAACTTCTTCTTTCTTCTGAACATTTATTTTGTATAATGCTTTATAATTTCAATTTCCAAGCCTTCAAAAAAATCCTTCAGCAGCTAAGAATTTGCACATTCAAGTAAAAGCTGTTATTTTGAAAGCGCTGAGCTAATATGTATAAAAAATAAAATATCCGAAATAACCTGTGAATGCATGATTACCTCGGCCGAGTTTTTTTTTTTTTTTGTTTTGTTTTTTTTTTTTTTAAATACTGCTCGTAAAAATGATGCACGCGGTGTTTTATAACAAGCAAATAAATGACTTCTTTTCGGCTGTTTAAAGTTGTAGAACATAATACAAGTGTTAGCATGAGCACGTTGAAGCTCAGATTGTTATCATTACGGGTTTGACAAAATCCTACTACACCACACTCAATGTATCTCTGTACTATGTCATTTTCTTTTTTAGAGAATACTGTATAAATGTATTTTGATAAAACAAAATTGCTTTTGAGATTAAGATCTAGCATACTATCAATTTACCTTTTTTATTTCTTAATTGATTGTCTTAAACTTAACTAATTAAGCTCAATTTGACAACAAAAACATGAGCATTATGTCACTTAATGTAAATAAATTCTAGATGGCCTTATTTTAAAAGCGTGTCAGTACATGTAAGACTATCAGAGCATTTCGGGTGCAATATATATTTAGCAGGACAAATTTAAATCCACCCTTGTATTTCACCTTAATTGGTTACATGATCCAGCTTTAATGCATATAGATAAGAAAATAACTTGCATACCTTTTAAATTAATCTTTTAAATTAGATGATATCTAAAATCAGACAAATATACTTGTATTCATTCAAAACATTTAAATTCTAGATATTAAAAGAACTGGTGAACAAAACTTTGAGATGAAAATATCCGCACCTTATCTTTATAAATATTTTCCCGTATGAATTTAAACACAAGAGCCACAACAGTTGCAAAAATTCCAAATCCAACAATTAGTAACAATGTCTCGTGTATTTCAATGGAAGGCACAAGCCCTTGAACAACACTGTAGTTTGCACGTGCAAACAAAGCCTGGCATTCGTTTGAATTATACCTAGCCATTATTAATACGTTTCCTTAATTGCTTTGTTTTACAAATGCAATTCGGAGAAATCACTAACAACACTGAAACAAATACATAAAATCGTTTATTTGAAAACAAATGTAAAATCCAAATCTAGCAACTGACAGCCAACAAAGAAGTCCAACTTTAATGTGTCTTATTTTAATTAGACTATTCCTGGAAAAATGTGAAGTGATAAAGGGTGATAGAGGGTCATTACGTTATCAAGACAGAAGTTCCTATTTGAAGTATTTACATTGCAACTTCCACATGGTAGTGGTATACAGAAATAAACTCATTAACATCAGTATTAATTCCTCCCGAAATATGTCAAAATAAGGGTAACCTCTCTAGAACATAACCACTACAGAACAACTAAATATGTTCTTCAATTGCTCTGTCGATATTGTGTTTTAATCACATTTAAACGAATTAAGATTAGTGAAGGTCTATATATTAGTACTGGAAATGAACTTAAAATGGTAAAAACGATTAATCAGCATCAACATTTAGTTATGAATAAATAAATCATTTTATTCATTCATTCGTTTGATATTCCAGACATAAAAATGTTGTCCAATCATGTCATGTACATATATATTTATATGGTTTATATATTCGTATAAACCAAGTTCAGTTCGTCTTTACAAACGGGACATACTTTTTTGCAAACCAAATACTATTTCTAAAGCCCCGTGGCTAGTGGTATGACAGCAATACGTTATGTGAATATGTAAAATCTACCATAACCAAGCTTAATTTCTTAAATAACTAGTTCATTTTTTTCAATCTTGACGACGCCATCTACCATTTACTTCAACATTTCAAAATACACACAGACAAACAGTGCAGACCGTAATCAAACAGCACGGATGCCGGACGGCGGATCTGGGTCTGCACTGGTTGCAAAGGTAAAATCAGTTTCCTCCGGCAAGCTTAGTGCTATTATCTCAATTACCTCTCAGGTTTTTGAAGATGCTTAATGATTAACTTTAAAATAATGGCTACTAGTTCTGTGAAAAATTACAAAGCTTGATTAAAAATCGATATTTTTAAATCACCACAAGCTAAAAGATAATCGGACATAAGAGAGAGATCAAAAATTGACCTTGTATTTATTATGTAATTACTGCAGTTCAGATGTCAGAAATAATGTTTTAAGTAATAAGAATTAAATATTAGAAAGGGCATCGAAACACGAAGCTATCTGATTAGTACAAAAAGTTCTCGAGTATAAATCAGATTACCGAGAGCTTTGATGTTCTTTCTCTTCTATATCATAGGCGAAATAAAAACACGTTCCATCTCGTCACAATAATAAAACATAAAAAGTAATGAACCAATGTACGAGCATCTAAATATTATTTTTCTATTATTATTTCTTCTCCTGTTGTCATAATAAATATCCCCCAAATGTAGCCAATCAACAAGCATACTCTTTGTTTAAGACTGACAGACAGTGCGGTAAACGGAGTGCATGTAACTAATACCTATGTTCCAGTTAACTAGGTATACGATTTAACTTTGAAAGAAAGGTCTCTCAACTATGATGCACTTCATAATTTGAAGCTTATATTCAT